AACTATTTTTGTATTCAATGCGGTAAACTCAGGATAAACAATGTTTAGAATTTTATTTTACTTTTCCAAAATTGAAAATTAAAACCGTAGAACAGATTGGTCAATCCAACTCTCTGCCTTTCTCTCTCGCTCCTCAAGAGAGTTTTTTTTTTTAATGTCTTTGATCTCTTTTTCTTTCTTTCATTTGGACGCATAAATTATTGAAAAATCTTTAGAATTTTTCATAAATTTCAGATCTAAATCGTAGTAGTAGTTTTCAATCCCCCCCCCCTTTAAATTGGCCGAAGAGAGATAAAAGAGGGAAGAGATAAAGAAATCGAACCAAAAAAATGATCACCATTCCGTATTTGACCGCTCTAACCACATATTTCAGCTATGGCCTTCTCTTCGCGTTTGGCCAATTCCGTGATTTCTTCAGGAAAATCTTTGATTGGTGGCAGGCCAGCAATCTTCAGGTCGTTTCATTCTTCTTAAATTTTTCGTTTTCTTTATAGAATCGTGATTGTTAGATTATATTTGGCTTAAAAAATGCGTGGATATAAATTAAGTTGCGTGACGATTTGTTCGTTTTTTGTTCTCTAGGGTTATGCGCCGATCTGTTTAGGACTTGAAGATTTCTATATTCGACGCTTGTATCTTCGTATTCAGGTATTTACTTTTTTTTCTTCAAATGTTTCTTGATTTATTTATTTATTTACTATTCAGATTTCCTTGAGATTTTTCGTCCTGAAATCGCTGAAGAAAATCAATGTTTTAATCTAAATTTGGTTTCTGATCTGGTTTATTATTATATTTTGCTTTGAAGCACTTGCTTCTTGCTCGTATTTAATCGTTGAAGACTAAGTTAGCTCAAATTTAATATTCAACAGTCTTTTTGCTCTTTTGATGACTTTCTGTTGCATGATTATATGCTGCTAACATGTCTGACATTTTCACCTCTGTAGGATTGTTTCGGAAGACCGATAGCGAGTGCTCCGGATGCTTGGTTTGATGTAGTTGAGCGGTACTCCAATGACTGTAATAAAACATTGAAGTAAGACTTCTGATGTGCTTTCACTCTTCAATCTTATTTAAAGCCCACTTTCATTCATTCTACAAGACTACAACCATTTGCGCTAAATTTTGACTTTGCTTTATTACCGCATTTGGACAATATACAAATAAAATTTGTCAACTAAAAGCTGTTCTTCTTAGGTGAATGATTGAGATAGAAACCTTGATTGCTAAATATATATGTAACTAGCTTATGTTGACTTTTTTTTTCTTGATCTCTTACAGGCGAACTGAAAAGAAAAGTAGGTGCCTTAACTTGGGATCATACAATTATCTTGGCTTTGCAGCAGCTGATGAATATTGCACACCACGTGTAATTGATTCATTAAATAAATTTTCAGCAAGCACATGTAGTACTCGTGTTGAGGGAGGTATATATTTTTTTATTTTTCACCGTAGTCTGTCTGGTCACACACTGGTTATTTGAAATCTTTCACTTCCCTTTTTCTACTAGGAACTACGGCACTGCATGAAGAACTGGAGGAGTGTGTTGCAAACTTTGTTGGAAAGCCTGCTGCTGTCGTCTTTGGCATGGGCTATGTGACAAACTCTGCTATTCTTCCTGTCATAATTGGAAAGGTATAAATAATGTTAGCTTGAGTGTTTAAGTGAAAAGTTCATATATGAACTTTCTTTTGGTCATTGCTCTCTGATTATCGTCATTCTTCTTCTTCTTCTTTGCATATATCAACAGGGAGGGTTAATTATTAGTGATTCATTAAACCACAACTCTATTGTTAATGGTGCTCGAGGCTCTGGAGCTACTATCCGAGTTTTTCAACATAATAGTAAGTTTTATGTGGTAATTGACACTTAGTAAATTTATTTCCATATCATTATACTGATATAAGAAAATTGCTCTTTCCATTTAGCTCCTCCTCATTTGGAGAAGGTTCTGAGAGAACAAATTGCTGAGGGGCAGCCCAGGACGCATAGGCCATGGAAGAAGATAATTGTTGTTGTGGAGGGTATTTATAGTATGGAAGGCGAACTTTGTAAGCTCCCTGAGATTGTTGCCATATGCAAGAAGTACAAGGTGATGCAGTTGATATATTGATCATGTTCCATGATAATACATTCGGCTTGTTCTTGAACATGTCCTTTCCGTCTTATTTTTTAATTGGTTCCTCCAGTTATAGATTTTTCTGACTACATTTATAATGCATTTTTAGCCATCATATTTGTTTCTTGTCCTAAGTATTTTGTGTTTATCTCCCATTTGTTTCAGGCATATATTTACTTGGATGAGGCTCACAGCATTGGGGCCGTGGGAAAAACAGGAAGAGGTGTATGTGAACTCTTAGGAGTGGATACTGGTGATGTGGATATCATGATGGGAACTTTTACTAAATCTTTTGGGTCTTGTGGTGGCTATATTGCTGGATCCAAGGTTTGTTGTTTTTGCTAATTGTCAACTTCTCCGGATCTTTTAAAGTCACTTTGGACGGTCGTCATTTTTTATTATGCTCCATTTATAGTCGAGCTTGGTCCTGCTGTTCATGGAAATCGGTTCTATAAATCTCTTTACTAACTTGTTCCTATGTCGATTTCAGGAACTTATACAATATCTTAAGTACACATGTCCTGCTCATCTATATGCAACGTCAATATCACCTCCAGCTGCACAGCAAATAATATCTTCAATAAAGGTTATTCTTGGAGATGATGGCTCTAGCAGAGGTACGCACATCATATTCTCTCTTCCTAAGATCTCCGGACTTCTACTGGAATATTCACATTTGGATCATCATTTCGTTTTGTCATGACTTGAGTTGGCTTTTTTGTATAATATCAGGAGCTCAAAAACTTGCAAGGATACGTGAGAATAGTAACTTTTTCAGGTCAGAACTACAAAAGATGGGTTTTGAAGTCCTTGGAGACAATGATTCCCCTGTGATGCCCATAATGCTTTACAATCCAGCAAAAATCCCCGCATTTTCTCGAGAGTGCCTCAAGCAAAATGTGAGTTTAAGCCAAATCCAGCCGTCCATGAATTCACATTGAACTTTCAGCCATTCTTATTTTGACATTTTAGTTCTTCCATTCATTATTTCTATATTCCCTTTGCTTGTATCCCTCTAAGTGCGTACAGACCAGTTATTGAAAATGTAATCCTTTTGTTACAGGTTGCGGTTGTTACGGTTGCTTTCCCTGCCACCCCATTACTTTTGGCCAGGGCACGGATTTGCATTTCGGCCTCGCATACCAAGGAGGACCTTCTTAAAGCTTTGGAGGTAACTACTGGATGTGATTTCTTTTGCCTGGCAGTTTAAAGCACAGATTAGAATTTATTATCGGAGTTCTCAGATAGTAGGCAGAAGTTTTTATCTAATATCGTTACTTATAATCATTCTTATGGCCAGGTTATCAGTCAGGTTGGTGATTTGGTGGGCATAAAATACTTCCCTGCAGAGCCTAAGAAGCAGCTGCAGCCGGGGAAAGAGACAATTAAGTTGGAGTGATAGGTTTCCAAGACTGGCTGAAGTTGAATTCCCGCTTTGTTTTCGAGCAGGTACCGTAGAACTGATGTCAATCAAGCGAATTCTTCACCGGGTTCCATGTTTTGATTGTCGTAGCCTCTCTGAAAATCAGGGGGAAGTTTGTAGAACCAATAGCTTGGGTATCCTAAGGCTTTCCTTCGCGTTTGTAGCGGTGTGTTTTGGGCATCTTCTTTGGATTTTAGTGAATCAATTGATGTATAGGGTACTAATTTAATTCAATTATATCATCATTTTTGTTTGTATAGAAACCCAAGCAGGTTTATCAAGATGATGATACTATGCAGGTGTTCAATTGAATTGAACCAAATGGCAAGATGCTTGGGTTTGATTCAAAATATACCACCATTGCGTAATACAATATGGGGATGTCAAGGCAATTTCCTGTCTGCAAATGTATATCATAACCATATGCTACAAAAACGATAGCTCCATTCTTCCTGGTATATCATTCCCAGTTCTAGGATAACAGTTGGCAGTTGAGAAGCTAAGAAATATCTTATACAATACAACAAATTCATGCACATGCTCGCAAACAACAAAGTCCAGTAATAATTCAGAAAACCACAAATGAAATTGCGGATATTCTTGGACGAACCAAGTTTCATAAAACAAACTTGGATTTCCTTAGAGTTTCTACATTTCCTCACACCTAAAGCATGGTATAATACCCGACTTATTCTTATTCGAAAGACCACATGGATTGAGCATCTCTCCAGTAATACATATCCACAATTCAGTAATACCTTCCATTCTGTTTGTTCTTTCTTTCCTTTTTTGGCGAACCAAGTTCTTTATAGATCAATATGTACTCAACAAAACCATAAATTAACTTCCTAATTAATGAAACGGAATGCAAAAATTATGTCAGCACCAATTCATGTAGTATCTTTTGTCATACTATCACTGTTTCACAAGCATGTATATTACCAAGGTTTGCCAGGAAAAGACGAGAGTAAAAATGTTAATAGAGTTTAAAATTAGAATCAGGTATACAAACCAAGAATTCTAGGCTATAGGAAGTTATGATATCTTATGGAACTTTAGGCTATATAGAGTTACAATCTTATGCATAATCAACACATGATAATGTATGATAAAGCCTAACCCGATACGAATGCTAGAACTTCCAGAATTATGCCTGAAGCAGTTATCGACTTGCTAACTGAAGATTCAAACATCATTACTATTTGCAGAACGATCGGGGACTTAAGGGTAACTAAGTTCAAGCACTTGAGATGTGAAAAAATATACTCCCAACAAGATAATCACCATATAACCTATAACAATATAATTAGTGACACTAAAATACAGAACCTTCTAACAATTTCTTAAGAAATACATTCTTGATATCGATATTCAGTACTAATAAGCCCCGATTATTACCATATAAAACACATCTAATTGCAAAAAGAAAATGAAAAAAATGAGAACCGTAAGAATATGGTTTAAATTACCTTACTTATGAGTTCTGTCAACCACTTTCCTTTAACCAAAAGAAAAGCTGGTATTATCTCATTGTTTCCCAATAAAGTTCTCAACAAACAGTAGTTAGCACAATGCACTGCAAAGAAGTTGCAACACTAACAAAAAATCCTACTGATTCTCCTACATTTCACTATAAAAAGAAGGTAAACATACAAAAAGCTTCTTACATTGTCATGTCTGACAAAATTCTGCTTTCAGAAACCCTACAACCATATCAAAAAACCATCACGAAAAGCTTTTACCGAGCTTTTGGATCGCGCAAAACATTTTCCTTCGAGAGCCAACTGCTTTTATTCCCATGTCCTTCAAATCCTCTAATGTCAACAATGGCAAAATCTCGTCATCCACTTCATGGATCTTGAAAACCGGGGCATACCTTCCTAACCCCAAACTACTCAACCATATCCTAACCCCATCTTCCTCACACCGTCTCGTTTCGGTATCAGATGGCCCAGATAACTCAATCCCATCTGGAACCCGAGTCCGAATTGGCCTCCTTCGATTACTCCCATGATAAAGAATTTCCCTTTCATTGCCATTGACACGCAGTTTATCCAAAGAAAGTACTGGACTCTGGCTCTTCATGGGACTTTCCGAGTTCTCCAATTCGAAGTCATCGTTATCAACGTTGCCACTGTATTTTCCCTCTGTTTCCGCATTATTGCTGCTGATGTTGAGATTTCCGCCACTGGAATCGTCGAATTTGGGGACCCAATTGGATCGAACCCGCTTCGTAGTGTTCCCCCGTTTCTTGGAATCTTTGACTCTCCAGCTACTAATCGCAACGCCGTCTAAATTTCCGTTGTTGTTGTTAGCTTCTCTTTCGTTATCGAGGGTCTCGTTGCTGGCGTTGACGTCAGTGCTGAGATTGGTTAGGGCGCGAGTCTTGGACGATTTAGCATTGGCGACGGCTGCTGAGGGGCTTAGCGGAAGATGGGATTGGTGTTTCCACTGCTTGGAAGCGGCGCCGGATCCGGAGGAAGAGGAGGATCGTCGGAAATGAGAGTCGTAAGGTTGACCGCCGCCGATATCGCCTAAGCGGAAGCTGGGACGTCGCTGGCGTTTGGATGCAACGGTCTCACATGAAACCACCGCGAGGGGTTCTCCGACGCCGTTCAAAGGGACGTCTGATGGTTGTATATCCACCATGCTTATTCCTACTTTCGAATTCTCTTTTCTGAATTCGTAATGGGGAGAGAGAGAGAGAGAGAGGGAAGAGAGACTGTGAAAGTGAAATGCTGCTTTAGTAACACGTGTCCTTGTTTTCCTACTCAAAAGGATTGAAGGTGAATTCAAACATTAAATTCTAGGGTAAGTACCTAAACTATTGTTTCCTATCTATCCATTTGATATTATTATTTCGCTTTTTAATATCTTTCAGTATGTTGTGTCATTATTTTATATTTATTTCAACCCTCAAGGAGACAAAAAAAAAATATAATTTGGTATCATAGTGCTATCATATGAAGAAAAATGATAGACCACTTGTCAGTGAATAAGGGACCCTCTAATAGCAAATAAACCAGAACTGCATGGGCAGGCCATAATTACATTTGGCATTTGATTTACATTTAGAGCTGACAGGTGTGTATTATACCATGCATGCAGATGCCAACAAAAGTTTCAAAGAGATAAACAATGGTGGCGCGGTTGTAAATTAATAAAAATGAAAGCTTTATCATCCCCAAAAAGACCAATTAGGGAAGACTATATCCAACGTTTCTTTATCTCCACAGTAGCGAAACAATAGTGGTGGGGCTGTTGCATTCAGTCCTCTTGTAACACCCCAATTATTATAATTATTAAGATCACATGTATATTGGCTGTAGTAATTAATATGATCACCTGTTAATGCCATTATTATATGTAGGCACCAAGCCAACCACTCTTCAATTATGAAAGAGATGGAGAGTGTGTAATAATCCATTATAATAAAAGCATTCCCTGAGCCTACGAACTCAAAGTGAAAATTTGTGATAAACATATCTTTATCTGTTCATCAACCGTCAAAGACAACTCATTTTCTCTAATAATTACCTCTCAAAGTGGTCAAAACAATTTCACTACCCTTTTGTTTAGAGGGCACCAAGCGTTTCATCACTGTTAAGAAGGGAGCAAAACCTCGAATAAGACAGAAGCTACCAAAGCCAGAATCATTGCTCATCCTCATTACTAGCCTCTTTGAAGCTTACATGGATTTTCAAAAGTGTAGAGCTTCGCCTGAAGTAGTGCCTTGATTAGCTGTTGCTAGATAGAAGTTTGAAGCGAGGCAATGATCTTTAGTGATATCATGAGACACTTCGAAAGACCCGGAGCTGAATCAATTGATGGACGCTAATTGTGACATGTGGTGAAATATTGAGAGGAACTAACCAAGCCATGAAAGAAGCTTTGGATTTCATGTGGAGGATTGAAGCTCCGCCCAACTCAACATGCTTAGCAAGACTCCCCTGTGGATCTTCAACTCCGTAGATCGACGAAACCTAAAGAATATCAAGCTAAACGTATTGAGCCATATCGTTGAACCATATCAGCTTTTGATCTACATCATTGCTTGAAATATGAAGAGCGTAGAAGAATAAAAAAAAGAGAATTTGTGAAAGTTGCGTGAAAATGAAGGAATGTCATAGTGCATATGGCTTTGGGAAAGTGAAAAGAGAGCAATTAAAGAATTCACGTGGTTGTGGGAAATTATAGATAACAAGCAAAAGGGGGTAAACCACAAGGTATGTTATCCAAGTTTGGTGAGATCTTTACCTTATCTCTTATTTTCCAAGTGGTTATAGTTATGACATAATAGTTTTTACAAGATCAATTTAGTCCATGATGTTAGTAATTAAATATTACTAGCTCTTCAAGTTTTTAGTTATACAAATTGGGTTTCCAAATTATTAATTAGATTCTAACAAGTTGTTTTTTTATGGTAAGGAAAATTATTGGAAGTCGTATTTGTATGATAAATTATACGTGTTCGTTAGAAAAAGATTGGAAGCTAGAAATCAAATTGGTGAGCTGGAATTTAAGACTAATATTTTGGGTTTTGTTGATGTTTCGATTTTGAGGTTCGTTTCACCAAATTTAAACTCGATAAGCTGTTTTTCACTGATTAATCACCCGATTCGATCCGTTTTTCGGAATTAAGCTCCGTTTTTTATAAAATTTCTATTAATATGTACCTGAGGATTTATTGGAAGTTGATTTCAAGATCGAGGGCGTTCAAATTTAATTTAAATGGTCGAGCAATATGGCACAGAAATCGAGGTAATACATTACTACCTCTTTATGCTTTATAGAACATGTTGGTATTGGTAAATGCATGAATGAAAATGTTTGGTCTCATATGTGTAAGTAATGAAGTTCTACACTCGATACGAATGCGGTAGGAAGTAAGTAACTGAATATGGCTCAGATGATTATTATAAGTTGGAGGACACTTAGAATTAAATTACAAGTTCTGGAATTAAGTGATAAAGGAATCAACCATGTATATGTAGATTATAATTTATCTCATTAAAGGTACTTAGATGATAAATTATGAGAATATTTCGATTAGGTAAAATTACGAAATTACCCTTATGTTGGAAAATGACAAGAATTGTCCCTGGAAGTGGATTAATAAATCTGAAGAGACATTGATCTGATAAAACTATTGATGTGCATAAGAAATATTAGTTTTATTTGAAAATTTTGAATAACCGATTTTTAACCCCAAGAGAGTTTATGCAAGATACTAGAAGTCTGTTAAGGAATCATTTCAAGATCAGATAATGATCAAGGAAACAATTAACCATAGGATCTCTAAATTATAAGAATGTTCATTAAGAGTTAATACCGAAGTTATCTAGTTAAGAAATTATGAAAACGCCTTGAGAGGTAAAAATAGTCCGAGTTAACCCTGAATGAGAAAATACTTTGAGGATTCGTACTTAACTCGATAAATTACGGATTTAGTTGTTAAGATTCTGTCTTTGTACAAAAAAAATTATGATATTCCGTTTGTAAAATCTGAGAAGGCACTTGACCCGAAAATATCCGAGTTATGAGTAAATACCTAAAGAACAATTTATCGGAGGGTGCTCTTTTATCAGAATTGTTCGAAGGGACTGGAATAGATGATAAATTGGAATTAAATAATAAGATCGGATGGAGGGAAAAGATTGAAATACTGTAGATCTGTAAAATGACCAAAATACCCCTGTAATGGAAATAACCCAAGAATATCACCAAGCTCAGGAATAATTGGATATCCTCGGGCTCTGAAATGAATGGAATAAGACTGAGCATCAAAATGACCAAAATACCCTTATGACCTAGAATAAGTAAATGTCTTGGATTAATTAAGTAATCCAAATAAGCATAGGTGTTGGACTACTTTTACAAGTTATAGAACACAACTTAAGTGAGTTGATCAATCGTAATGATATGTCAGTACCTGAACGATATAGATATTACTTGAATGTGTGTTCGTCTTCTCAAGTGTGGCTTGATGATAATTTTGGAAGTATTCAGCTCAGCTAAACTCTAGATCACATTCAATATTAAGAAGTGGATATTCATTAGACAAATCAACTACGACTACCAAATTGAATTGAATGGAAGTGCAATATGTATCTAAAATTCAAAAGTCTGAATTACTATGGAAAACCCTGAAGTAATTGTAAATGACTTGACTCCTAAATGAACTAATCAGATGAACTTATATGATGTATCATCCCTATGTATTATGAACCGCAAATCAAGTACATCAGCATTTCCTGGTATAGTTGAAACATGGAAATGAAATAAAGACCATTAGAATATTTGTTTGTCTCCTTAAGATCTATTCAGTGATGACTCAAAAGATGATTTGTGGATAAGAATATTTGGTATTAAAGAGTAAATACCCTGGAAGGTTAATGAATTGACAAGTTAATAAGTATTGGTTCTGGGAGCTATTCATTTGGAGTTGTTCGATAATCGGATTAATTGTCATAGATTGTAAAGATTCTGCAGACCTTCAGATTTCGTAGAGCTTCAGAAAAGTGCCTGAATAAGATGATCCCGATAAATCATATCCTGAATAAACTAATGATTCTGTCAGTTAATGAACTTTTCAAATAGTGATTCTAACTTCCGACATTCTATCGGTAAACTGAAGATTCGTGTCTCTCTACCCGATAAGATTATCTAGTATCTCTGAATAATATCTGTAAACTCTGGTGTGTTCCCTAATCATATAAATATTTTATCTGATTTCTGACTTGAATTCTGTTCTGATACATGACCTGAATTCTGTTCTGATTTCTGACCTGAATTCTGTTCTGATTTATGATCTGGATTCTGTTATGATATTTGTTCTGAATTCTGTTTTGATTTCTGATATCTCCGTTTAATGACGGAAAAATGTTTTAATTGGGGGGTATTGTTGAAGGAAGTATTTCCGCAGGTTCCTCGGCTTTGTGCTCAGGGCCTTACAAGTTGTGTGGGTTGGGTGTATGGTTCTGGGGAACCTACACCTTATGTTGTGTTGGGATGGGGTATATATATATGTTTTTAAAAAAGATCTGAAAAGTTACATAGTTTTTGGGAACACACTAGATAACCTATTCTGATCTCCTGAACTCACTCATCCAAAATATTTCTCTGAACTGAAAGCTCATTGTCCGTTACCACTTGAAATATCAGTAGGATCTCTGCTCAACATAAAAATCTGTAAATGTTCGGAAACAATAAGGAAATATATATTTATTTGTATTTGCACGTTCATCAGTATCATCTGCTAGTTTTGTATTACTGAGCTTTCCAAAGCTCATTCTGTTACTCATCTTTTCAGGCTAAAAGAATTATATCAGTGCATCTATCGACTTCAGTTGCAGAGTACGGTACATGTGATTAGGGGGCATGTAATTGTATTTTGTTTTATATATACAAGTATGAAAATATGTTTTATTTCGAATATTGATAACTTTTATTTTGTACTCATAAATGATTTTACGAGTTTACAAGTTTTAAGAAAAAGTTTTAAATTTTCCGCTATTTTTACAGTGGGTCGCTCCAGTGGCCCTAATGTGACACTCCAGATCGGATCGGGTTATCCGCATCGGTCTGAGGGGGTTACATAAACTTTTTAATTTTTTAAAATTATACCTAATGTTTAGTTTTTGTTTTATTTTAGTACCTATCAGATTTGGTCCGTTTTAATATTTAAACTTTTAGCTTTTTTCCAAAACT